GTGTTAGCCTCCATTGGTGGTGCCCTCACCGGCAACGAGGAATCACCGCAAATTCGCAATCACTCTCCATCGTATGCGCGCCTCTCCTTTCTCCAGGCTCGCCTAGCGCGCCACTCCGCGCGCAGGTGGGCTCCAAGCTCGCGCCGCTCGACCCCGACGCCGTCCGCAGCCATGTCTGCCTCTGCCAACTCCAGCTCGCTCTGGGTCACGGGCCGCAAGGAATTGGCCTTTCCCCCGCTCCCCCGATTCCTCCTTGATCTCTCCCCCACGGACAAGGCACCAGCCCACCAGGCAAGGGCGCCGACCAAGGACGCCAGGCCCCCCGCCGCCAGCACGGCAATACAAGCCTCCAGCCGCTGGCCACTAGGGCGTAGGGCCCGCGTGCACTCTCTCTCGTGGCAACCGTAGACCATCGTGGCAGCCCTACGCCAGGTGCCCAGGTTTTCGTCGGATCCTTCACCATGTCTTCGCCGGCGACGAGCACCCAACAGGTACGCCCACCCCTTCCCTGCTCTCCCTTCTGTGCGAAGCCGAGGACCCAAACCCTAACTTAAGCTATTTGGTGTACTCAGATCTGATCTAATATCAAGCCTGCCATATTGTCACACCCATGGCCGCCGACGAGATCAAATCGGCGACGTGAACAATCACAGGGATAATCTGAGAAGGATGATCTCGATACGGAGGAGGAAGAATCGCTTCCTTCCCTCTGTCCGTGTTCTTGTTTCTGAAATATTTTCTGTTCTTCCCCTTTCCTTTGGCTGGGCAGTATATAGAACTTGTCCTCTCTTGTACCTAGGTCCCACGGCTGGTGGACGGTGGACCCACTTGTCAATCAATGCACTGGACTCCTTGCTCTCCATCCTGGGTGTGACATTACCACCCCGTCGAAACTTTGTTGTCCCCAAGCAAAGGCATCATGTAACTGACAATAAGTTTCCTTCAACAACAAATGGTGTAAACAGCTATATTCATCAATTGAGGAATATTGCTGTATAGTGATGCACAGTTGAGCCTGACTGTTTGGTTTCAAATGAGCCGGAACCATATTAGATCGGTAAGATTCTACTGAACCAAGTAGTAATTTGCCATGCAAAACCATTTTTCGTCCCACAAATCTGGCGCTGTAAGTAATTCGATCCTGAACCACTCGCTGGAACAGATGATGCATCCAACAAAGTAGATTAGTAGCTGCCAGCATATAAAATTGCAGCTGGTCCCTGAATAGTAGATCAGCAATTATACACCGTGTCCTTTTACTGGATATGTACACCGTGTGCATATACACCGTGTCCTTTTACCGGATCCGCCCTTAGGACCTGTTTGGCACGGCTCCTCCTAAGGGGCTCCTCTGGAGGAGCCGGAGCTGTTTTGGAGGAGCCACAATTTGTGGCTCCTCCAAAATGGCTCCGGCTTCTCTGTTTTTTACTGGAAAACGGCTCTTCCAAGAAAACGTTTGATAGGGCTCCTCTGGAGGAGCCGGAGCCGGAGCCGGAGAGGAGCCCTGCCAAACAGGTCCTTACTGTTGGTCTTGGTTTTGTTGATTTGCTCTATTGTGATGGAGGATTTAGGGAGGAACTTGCAAATCCAGCAGAAGCAATTGGATAATTTGGTAAATCTACTGGCAGAGGTAAGCAGGTAATGTTGCTATGCACCTTCAGCTCAGTTTAATAATAGCAAAATTGCTGGTAATTTTGTCTCGTCCATATGTGATGCTCATAATTTCTATCGGTGTTTTACTAATTACAGCTACTCATATAGTGATATATTATCCGTAACAGTTTAGTTTGTCTATTGGTTCATAATTTCATATGGTATGATAACTCTTCTCAGGTTCTACCGCAAAGCATGTAATGAGTTGTTCTCAGGTGTTACTGAGCAGGAGCCTGAATCATCGACTAATAGCCTGTTTGGCTTGCCGGTTGAACTCATCTGGCTTTAGGTGAATCCGCCAGAAGCAGAATGGGTTCGTGCGACACATTTTGCGGAGCGACTTGATCTGTCACGATTGGCTTAAGGTTATCTCTCCATGGAGGCACTCGATGACGGACGGTGCGATTCCATACTATGAACCAAACAATATTACCAGCTTCGGATATAGGATCGGATCATTCCGGATCATCTGACGCTGCAAACCAAAAAGCCTATAATACTCATGAGTGGGTGGCATCTCTTCTTAATGCTTCGTTCGAGATCACCAGAATTGTTCAAGGACCTGGTGTCCTGCATCCATGGATTAGTTGCTGTGTATTGGTCAGTTTGCTTATTTCCCCTTTCTTTTGTTTCATTATGGATTTTTGAACTATGACTCCTTTAGTGCTGTGAGCTGCTACTTGTTTTTTTAATTGATCACAAAACTTCTTACTGCAATGCAGGCCATACTTTTGATTCACGATTGAAGGCTCTTCTCACTTAAGTAATTGCTCTCACGATTGAAGGCTCTTCTCACTTAAGCACCTCACCGTGCCCTGCTGGATCTCCTCCTGGTATTGATTTTTTTCTTCCATCTCCTTCCTCCCTAATGCTGATTCTTAGAGTTATGTTTCATGAACTTTTATTTGTTTAAGACACAGTTAGTTGCCCATGTCAATACTAACTGCAAACGAGTATAATATTTGCAGCTTTGTTTTCAACTTAATTTGAGCTTAGGAAAAAAAATAGAGCACTGGATGTTTGATAAATTGCATAGAAAATATGTCCTAATTGTTTGCGTGGTTTTCGTGAAGCACATTCCTATAGACGTTGTTATGTTATTAAATAAATTATATTGTGCTTGAACTATCCTCTTTTCAACAAAAATTACATGGATCATGCTTCTTACTGTTACTGCATCGGCTGTGTAGGTGGTGCCATTGGCAGCATATTCACTAAATGATGATCTAAAGGGATAGTAAATTTGCTCAATATAAGACAATGCGCCGTACTACCATGACACATGTTGGACTCATCCTTTCCATTCAGCTCTCATCCGCGACAAGTATCAGGTAAAATGCATAGTTGCTAATTGCTATCTATTTCAAGGCGAAAACTCAAAAGTCTGAGTTGCATAGTGCAAATTTACTTCAGTTAAATTATTAAGTGTTCATGCATGAGAATGACTCGTTCTGTATTTTCTTTCCTGGATGGTGGAACCCTCCAGCCTATTCAAGAATATATTGTGAAATTCAAAGAGCTCTTCTTCCATGGTTTTGTGTCGGTGGGGCTTTGTGGTGTCATGCAGAGCTGGTGAAGGTGCTGAGCAAGGCGTGGAACGGCCGCAACCGTCGGTGGCGTGACAGGAACCAAACGCCGCGGGCCTCTCCAGCTAGCCTCCACGAACGGGAACACGGAGTTGTGCCGGTTCCTGATCAATACTTGCGACGTCGATGCGACCGATTCTGATGGTAGTACGGTGCAGTAGAGGGTGTGTTTTTCTTTCTATGACATTAGTAAGTCGTGAATGCTCCTCCAGTGCATTATGCAGAGAGTTTATTTGCGTGTGAACTATCGACGGAAGCTAGCTGGCTGTGGTCATGTACTGACGCAAAATTGTGTAATATTTCTATATACCTGTATGATTTTGCAAATTGTGATGAAGCAGATGCGGTGAACTTTTAGTAGCATTGCTTTTATGTTGCCCTTAAGCACTGGGCACTAGGTTGCTACGATCAATTTACCATTATTCTTGATTCACGAAAGATGTCAATTACACTTAGGATTTGCTTGATGGCAGATAATGGTAACATTATTATTAGTTGTAGAAACACATTTAGCATTTTTGTGTCCGGCAAGCTTCTTTTCTGTTAAAAGTACATTGAAACAGGAGATGAATGCAATCCAGTAGCTATATTTTTTTTTTCCTCTTGTCTCCTGCTCCAAACCAATGTGAAACTTAAGTTGCAGGAACTTTTCACTTTATAGTTGGCATCATCAAATCTGATTGTTCCTGTTGCAACGCACGATGAGTATAACATGCTTTGTTTTAAGGTTTCGTGAGAGATTTTTCAAGACACGCAGTATTACTCATATGTGACGAGCACTATTTGTGGATTTATTGAGGCACGAAAGAAATGAGTATCGGAGATTTCTTTCTGCCGATGTAAAACATTATCTTAGTCGCATCACGAAAAGATCTATACAGTAGAGTTTGTGAGCCTGCGACGCCGCGTTCTCCATGACTATGTTAATTTCACGAACTTTGCTTTTTGATTAAATGTCACTTTAACATCGATATTTAATTTCACAGTATTATTATCTTATCGTGTGATCCGTGTATTTTTAGTATAAATATTTTGCTGTCCCATAACAACGCATGGACACGAACTTATAGTATTATTATAATATAATAAAGCAGTTGCGGTGCGGCCTTGCAATTGCGTCGTACGTGACCGTCTGCACTTTGTTTGGTCTGATCGATGCGTAAGGAGGGACACCGAGGCATGGTAGGGAGAAAAAAAAAAAGGTGACGCGCCGCGCTCTTTTGCGGGAAGGGACGAGATCATCTAACTTCAGGCTGAGTGATGGTAGTGATGCATAGAGAACTTTGTACTTCTAAAAATACTTTTAACTGAAACATTATAAGTTATGGACTCAAACATTAGAAACTTAATTTGTAATACAAACTCCAGAACTTCAAAAAAAAATCCTAAATTTGCACTATGAATTCAGTAACTTCCATCTGTTAGCAGAATTTCGATAAAAAGAAAAAGAAAACCTCGTACTAATAACTTCATAGTTCTGGTAAGGAGTATGAGGTCCGTTTGGATGTAGATTTGGAAAGCTGGCATTGAATTGGGTACTAATGTCAAATAAGACTGGTACTGGAAATGAGCTAAAAGATGTTTGGATGTACATAAAATTGTCATTTGAAATCTAGGGACATGGCGAATACCAAATAAATATTTGGATGTAATCTCGTCAAATTGAATTGAGTGTCTTCTTCCCCACCCAGTAACACCCCACTTCACCTGAGCTCTGGTCCACCACCACCACCACCACCAGCTTCCGCCCGTCGCTCGAACTCAGGTGCCGCAGGAAGTGCTAGCTGCTGCCCCTGGTGCTCCCCATCGATCCACTACTCGCTGCTGCCGGACTCGAGGAAGGGGATCCTGGCCATGGCGGATCTCGGCAGCCAGCCACGGGGAAGCTGGCCAAGGGAAGAGGGCGGCGCTGGCCCCGCCGGCCACGGGGAAGAGGGCCTCGGCCAATAGGTCATTGCCGTCGCGCTGGTACACGGGGTGGAGCTTCTCGTCGACTAAGAAGACCAGGTCGGCGCGGAGCTGGTTCCAGTGCCGGTTGGCCTTGCCGACAAACGTGATTTTGGTGTCCTTCTTCCACCGGGAGCTTCACATCGATCGACAGAATCTCTGACTTTGTCTTCATCCTCCTGCGCTCGCGCCGCCAGCCAAGGGGAAGATGGCGGTGCTGGCCCCACCGGCCACGGGGAAAGAGGGTGGCGCTGGCCCCGCCGGCCACGGGGAAGAACATTATAACTTCGTAGTTCTAATAACTTTGGAGTTTGGATAAGAACATTATAAACTTTGCATTAAACAATGTAAAAATTTACAGTACATGCTCCAAACTTTATATTTCTAAAAACTTGAACTAAAGCATTGTGAATGTTGAATTAAATAATAAAAATTGTTCAATACCTGCTCCAAACTTTATAGTTCTGAAAACTTTGAACAAGGACACAATAAATTTTAAAGTAAACAATATAAAACTTAGCAGTAATACACTAAAAATTTCTTTACTAAATCCACCATGCTCAACCACCACCACAGTCATGTCTAATCCAAGTCCACCTAAATTTGTGCACCAAAACAATCCAACACTTCATACAAATGAATAATATGGATCTCTCCTCAAACCTTCTTCTTTTACTCATCGAAGATCCTATTAATGTCAAAAACATTCGGATCTTGCACATCATTGACAGACTTTTAACATTTCGCGAAATTTACCCACCTACCACTAGTTATGTCACGTACCAGTTCATTCTATCCCTTCTTTTCCCCATCGCATGAACAATTCGGCCGTTGTCCTCGTTGGCAGCGGTGGGCGCGAAGAGGACATGGAGAGAGCACGGCACGAAGGACGCGAGGAGAGCGTGGAGGACATCGGAGGACATAGGCGAGCGAGCTCTGCTCCACCGACACGTTTTGGTCTCCGCGACTCCGCATGCTATCCCATCCCGAGGCGTCATCGTGGTGGCATCTAGACCTACCAGCTACTTGGCCTTCTATGGCTCTACGCTCACTGGAGGAGTGAAGATAGTGGAGGAGCCTGTGAAGGAAGCGAGGGGAGCAGGGGTGGCGCTCATCGATGGCGTGCGATGTCGCGGGCGTGCCGGGGCTCTACCGCCTCCGCCGCGTGAGCGTGGGCGCGAGCTCCAGCGCGTCCTAGCTAGCTGGCTCGCGCGCGGCCAGGCTCCGCCGCGGCCTCGCCCTCTCCTTCTCGGCCAGCAAGCCCCAGGTGAGAGGAAGAAGAAGCAGGCCGTGAGGCTAGACGAGTAGGGTCCGCTCATAAGTGACAGAGACAGTAAAAAAATTTGGTTATACAATATATGAAACATGAATCGTAATGGATCTGGTTGTTCATTTTATTTTTTTATAAATTTTAATTATCTTATTTTGTATTTTACCGTAACGTTAGTAGGGGCACACTACAAGTAAAATTCATCTGCTTAAAGAAGAGCAAAAAATAATATACATCAATTCAGGAATTCTAAAGGGATTTGAGTTTCCCTATAGATTTCTCACCCTGTAAAAATTCAGGAATTCTAAAGGGATTTGAGTTTCCAAATTAGCCCTAAACGCTGTGATGATCAACTCGTGCGGCAGTAACGCGTCCGCGGGCATCCTGGCACGCCCGGTGCGCACTTCGTTGTAGAAGCCAACCACGACCATGCGGCACCACATAACAAAACCAGTTTTTTTACCTCCGTTCACTTTTAAAACAGTTTATTTTTGCATTCTGGGGCTGTTTGGTTTGGGGTGACTAAACTTTAGAGACTAAACCTTAGTCACTTTTAATCCCTAAAATGCCAAACAGGGTGACTAATAGGTGACTAAAGTAGTTTAGTCCCCTCTAGTCCCCAAAGGGGTGACTAAAAGGTGACTAAACTTTAGTCCAGTAACCAAACAGGGCCTTAGATGGTTTTGCTTATGTTGCACCACATTAGAGGGGGTAAATCGGACTAAGCTAAAATCCAGGGACGAATTTACACTAGAAATATTTTGAAGAAAGTTCATAAAAGTAAATTTTCATAAATATATCCAAAATATTTTTACATGGAAAATAATGCAATTAAAAATCCTAAAATATAGTTTAATCTTGGGAAATTCACAGAAAATTATTTTACCTCAAAAACTATGAAACTAGTTTTAGAATTTTTCTAAAATCATGCTCTATGGTATGGTGCATAGCTTAAAAGTGTTGAATCTTGATGGACTCATTTTGGTGTTTATTTGCTAGTAGAAGCACCAAAATGTTGATCTATTATAAATAGGTGATGTTGTTCTTTCGACTAAGTAGAAGTACTAGTTGAGCATTGTAGTGAGTATGTATGTGTTGATGACGCTCCACTAGCGCTTCTATGTAGTTGAATGATCAACATTGACTAACTATAATAAACAACGAGAGATTCTACTAGCAAATAAACACCAAAATGGTCCCATCAAGATTCAAATGATTTCAAGCTAGACACCATAAGATAGAGCATGATTTTAGAAAAAAATGAAACTAGTTTTATAACTTTGCGAGGTAAAATAGTTTTTCTCGGATTAAACCTGATTTTAGATTTTTTAAAAATTATATTATTTTTTCCATGTAATAATATTTGGATATTTTAAATTATTTTTTAGATATATATTTTTTTAAAAAAATTCTAGTGTGATTTACCTTCTTGAACTTTTACTTAATTTGACTTATTTCCTTTTGACGTGACACCACGTCAGTAAAACCATCATAAAAAACCAAATTGTTTTAAAAGTTGAGGAAGATTACAAAAATTGGCAAGAAAATCGGACGACCACCACCGTAATCTTTTTTAAATCACCACCATCGTAATAAAGAGAGATGAATTGGACTTTTTCTTAACACAAATTGAACTTTTATTTATAGTTGATCCTAGCTATATGCAACACATTAAACATCTTAGAGACGGATCCTATCTGTGGGTTGTATGATAGATTCGAAACGCTTACAACACATTTGGTTGGAGGGAGTTGTTAGAAGGGAATGAGATAAGAGATGTGTGATTAAAATTCCTTTGATTGGTTGGTGGGCATGGGAGTTCTTGTGAGAAGGGGAAGAGGAATTCAAGGGCCTCAACTCTCACCTTTTAAAACCAGGGAGACGGGTGGGAATTGAGTAGGAATTTCTTATCAACACAAGACGTGTGTATCTCCACCGTTGATGATAGCTGAAGTTTTGATTTTCCATTTCCAAACCCACCAACCAAACAAAGGCAGAAGAAACTTCCTCTTCAACTCTCTTAATTTCCAGCATATGTAAAAAAACAGGGGATTTGGAGTATAAATCAAACTCCCATCAATTCCCTCCCCTATCTCCCACCTCTAATTCCCGTATCCTTTCTCTAAACTTGTCAATAGAGTTGGACCCTTCTTATCTGTGGGTTGTCCTTTCTCTAAACTTGTCAACAGAGACAGACCCTCCTCTGGGTTGTACGCCCTTATTGCTTTTCTCGACTTGGCCGGTGCCCAACAGAGCTAACCGGCCAGGCCCAAGTTTAGATAATGGACAGTTCAACAATTTGGCAGCCCAAAATGAATAGAGATCGGCATCTTCTTCAACCTCCGACCGTGGCTGCGGCTCTGACAGCGCTCCTTCAGTTCGTCACAGCCTCGCAGAGGGGGGTTGGGGTACCAGCGCCAGCGGCTACCTAGGGCGGCCGCTCCACCTCGCTGTTACGGTAGGTCCGCTCCTGTTCTCGAAGCCTCGTCGCGCGGGGGCGGCGAATCCAATGGAGGGCGAAGACGAGCTCACCGTCGGAGGGGGCGTGCCCATCCGGCCGCCGCGGCTGGAGGACGCGGGGCTCGAGGACTGCGCGCTCCCGCCGGAGTCCATCGCCGAGGCCTTCTCCCTCGCCTCCGCGGCCGTCGCCTCCCGCCTCGCCCGCCTGCCCTTCTCCGAAGACTCCGACGACGACGAGGGCCGCGTCTCGGCACCACGCGGAGGAGGCTGCGTGGATGACGCCGGACCTCACCGCGGGGCCGCCCCCGACGCCCTTGTCGGCGGCGGTGTCGCGGGCGACGGCGGCGTCGACGAAGTCGTGGTCGTCAGCGCAGGGCGCGGAGGCGGATACGAGGACGCGGTGGTGGTCGGTGGGCGCGGAGAAGAGGAGGATGCAGTCGTGGTGGTCGGGGAGCGGCGCGGGGAGAAGAAGCTGGGTAAGGAGGATGGATGCGTCGAGGGGGTCCGAGAAGGGGTCAGTGAACCCAGACGGGCGCAAGGCGGTGAAGAGGGCGAGGAGGCGGCAGAGAAGGCGATCTTGGTGCCGGATTTCGACTGAACAGCTCAATTTCTGATCGCTGAATTCTAGCATCCCGCTGTAGCTTGGGCCAAGGTGTGAATTTCAATTTAGCTTTGTTCTTATTAGAGGTAACTGCGAGGGTCAGATCTTTTGCTGCATGTTGTTTGCTTGGCAGTAATGTAGTGTGGTTTTAAGCTCAGACATTTTGTTTATCTTAGATCTTTAAACTCAGATGACAGTTTCTCAGATGTTTAAGCTCAGGCGAGAGTTGCTAGTAGTTTCTTCCTTTACTGATGATTCTTGGCTGCTACGTGCTTTCTTGATTTTGATGTGGTAAGGACTGGTGACTGATGTGGAATGACGAAACAGCTTCTGAGCTTTCACCTGTGATGAAAGATCTAAAGAATTTAACTAAAAACTTCTTCCTTGTGCACAGTGGCAATGCATCATGTATGTAGTGCTCTTTTCTTGTCAATAAACTAAGTTATCTCTGTGAACAAATAGAGGCTAACTGGATTATAATGTTAAAAACATAAATGTCCGAATTTCTATTCCTAAGAGGAGAATTCCTGCAATTTACTAAAATTACTGTGCATCCTGAAACCATTTGTCACATTGTTTGCTATAGAAGGGTAAAGTGTCTGAAAATTATTTGCTGAGGAGAAGGCGAAATAGGATTAACAGGGAATGTATTGCCTGTGAATTCAAACATATACTGGTCCACGAGAAGCGAACTTGATTGAAATGATGCACAAAGACATTTTCCAATTCCCTTTGTGTCACCAGAAATGCCAGTGGAAATTGTGTAAGCTTTCTGGTCAAAGTCGTACCATTTTCAAGCTTGATAGTGTTTCTGATGCTGATATATTAATAACCAAAACATTGTGGAACTGGATGAGATGGGAAAGAACTTTCTTATCAGATAGAAGGTTATCCAGAATTCTATACTAACTAGTAGAGGAGCTTCAAAGGTTTTGCATTTCTAGCAACTGACCCAAATTAGTAGTCTCTCCGTGTGACATGAATCACATAATTTATTGCTTCGGGTGGCTCGTTTGACTGATGAATGTTTCAGACCACCGTGCCACTTCCAAACATAGATCAATACTGAAACTTGGACAGTTCTTTTGTTGTAAGATACTGATGGTAACCAATTAGTTTAACGGCTAACATTCAGACCTGCTGAAAATTGTCAATGATAGGAGGAAATGGTAACAAGGCTCATTCAGCCTGGTGATCTAAACACTTGAGACTTGGTTCACTAGTAGTACTGACATATATGTGCTGCAGTAGATCCAGGTAACCATGCTTGCTGCAAAATTACTGCAAAATAGGTCCTCACAGTAGTATTATCAGTTTCAAGAAATCCTTTTTTGGAGAACATGCAAGCCATGCAAAACTTTTCTTTTTTTAAGACAAAATTTTAGTAAATAAGCTATTTGGATGAGAAATTTACGTAATTATTAATTCTGTATACATAAAGGGCGGGCCTGGTGCAAGCGGTAGAGTCTTACCGCCTGTGACCGGAAGGTCCCGGGTTCGAGTCATGGTCTCCATGCATTGCACATGCGAGGGTAAGGCTTGCCACTGATACCCTTCCCCAGACCCCGCACAGGGCGGGAGCTCTCTGCACTGGGTACGTCTTTTCTTTTAATTCTGTATACATGAAAAGTTGGCATCAGCCATCTGCTTCATCTTTTGTCTATGTACTCCCTCCGTCCACAAAAGAATGCAATTATGGGATCCGTGCTAGTCAACTTTACTTAATTTTGACTAAGTTTATAGTAAATAATATTATCATTTATGTCTTATAATAAATTTATGATGAAAATAAATTCTATAACTAATCTAATAATACTTATTTTGTATAAAAAATATTAGTACTTTTTAAATAACTTTGGTCAAAGTTCAAATCGGTTGTCTCCTCGATATGCGAGAATTGCATTCTTTTGTGGACGGAGGGAGCACTGGGATTGTCAACTCTGCATTTTGAGACCTGATGCGTTCTCATGCTATTTGACGTACTAGAAATAACAGAGTTCATTCTTGTTGTGTTTACAGTGTATTTTGACTCTGTCTATTTATACAGGATGAAATGGATAATATTGAATTGCTTGTCACCATCACCATCATTGAATACAAGCTTGTAACTGGCTGTGAAACAGTCTCTTACGTTTTTCCATATCAGGTTGCTGGCACTCTGGCAGTGGACATTGGTAAAGTGCAGGGGCTTGCTGGTAAGTGATGACAGTCATCAGCCACCACAGAAGTACAGTAGTTACTATATGATCGATGACCCCTGCGGCGCTGTGTTGGCACGCACCGAACCTGGTGGATTTTCTATCCTAGTTTTAAGAGTTCTTTATCACCATTTCACAAAACAAGGATGTATAATAATGGATCTTTTTTTAGTGCTATGTAAAGCTTTGTAAAATATTTGCAGCTTTGTAAAGTTTTATCGTCCTTTCTTTAAACGATACATATACATCGATCGATACCTGAGGAGTCGTAGTCAATGACTGAGCTTGGTAAAGCTTTTGTTGATGCGAAGATTAGTCACACACCAGCTAGGGCTAGATCGTCCGAGTCGTCACGGACAAAAGAACGCAGCGGGTAAGCAACACACTTTCGTGGTGAGGAGCTGCGAGGTTTACGAGCAAATCAGCAAAGGATAACCCAACACTCTTTCGTGGTGAAGTACGGTGGGGTTTATGAGCAAACCATCAAAGGATGACCAATCACGCTTACGTGACGAAGAACGACTAGTTTTCGAGCAAACTAGTAAAGGAACAGTTGAAGCTCTCACTTAGAGGGATCTCACTAGGGCGAGGACGTTGTCGGGTTGCCATAAGTCGGCTAGCAAGCTTAGAGCGCCATTCTTGGTCGTTGCATCAGGATGAACAACAACAGCATGGGAGTTGGAAAAGATTAGGGAAAAAGGAGCACTAGATGTAAAAGTACGATTGGATTATTGATGTACTCAATCCGTCATGATCCTCATATATATATATATATATATATATAGAGAGAGAGAGAGAGATCATCTACTATATATATAGAGGGGTGATCTTATCCTGTAGGACACCCTTCTAAGCCTTATTTTCTAAGTTTTTCACGAGTTTGGATCGAAATCCATCATACCTGATCCAAACGAGGTCTTTTATTAGGTTTGTTGGAAGTTCGATCAGAACTTCCGGCACTTGTCGGGACTTCCGACGTAGAGATGACCGCGGGCACTTCGCACACATTTCTTTGAAGTTCCGGTGATTGTCAGAACTTTTGACGCTGGAGCATTTTCCTAAGGGCGTAACTCCTTCGTCTGGACGTTTCATATATGTTTTTTTTACCATCTCGACGAAAGGAACACAATAGTGAGGTCCTTCATATTTTAATAACTAAACAAAATAGACAATTTCGGTTGTCAACAATTTTCTTCAAATTTATTGCTTCAGATCTAGACTAGGAGTATTGTCCTTCTCGTACACGTAGGGTCTTGTTTGGATGCTATCGTATTCATCTCAATTCACACGAGTGTGGATTGAGGTAAAATTTAATTTAAGTTAAATTCGATAACATCCGAAGTGCAAACAGGCCTAACTGCGAATTTCCCGCAATCTGATGGAATGCGATGCCTTTACTGTTTTATTGCCATTCCGATGCTCCGGAGTACAAAAGCGGATCTCAGATGGAAGTGCGCACACCCAGTCCCCCGTGATCTGCTGATCGGACGGCTGGATACGGAGAACGGGAGAAGAAACAGCTCCAAGCCTGCGACTCCCCACAACCCACATCGATCAGGCGGTGTCGCTGGACTCGGTCGTCTGGAGTGGGACCCGTCGGCTGCCACCAGCATCAGAGTTAGGCCCCGTTCGCTGGTGTGAACTTTGGCTGAAACTGGCTGAAAAACACTGTTCCGGCTGAATTGTTGTGAGAGAAAAACACTGTTCCGGCTGAAAAAACAAGCCGAACAAGCCAAACTTTAAGACAAGCGAACGGGGCCTACATGCAAACATCCAGCTCCCCTCGTCCTCGTTACGGAGGAATCGGATCGGATTCACCTAACCATATTTGAATTTGGAGCGAATACATATAAGGATCCTGTCAAATACGAATACAAAGCGAATGTCTCGGGATGCACTCAATTCAACGGATATATAATATTTATCAATTAAGTTAATATATAGTATTTATCAATTAAATTAATATATCAATTAATCAATCATTATTTATATAATATTTATCCAGCAACTATAAATTATATAAAATTATTTACATCAGCAAAAAATAATATGAAAATAATTTACGACAACAAATATGTTAGGTTTAAACTAAATTATAAAAGTACTAAAAGTAATTTAATATTTATGTATCATTAATAGTGTTAAATTAATATTAAAGGTTACTTACAGATATACTACTAAATAGTTCCAATGCTTCAATAAAAATAGGGTGTGGCTAGCACCCGGAGCGTCTGGACGCCCGCATAGCCCGCCTCTGTCCGCCTCGCTTCGACTCGCACGTGCCCTCGCAGAAAGTGGCTCCAAAGGGTAACGACTCTATTTGTTTGTATGGCTATAAATAGAGGGTGTGTGGCCAGCCTTGGCCACTCTCTTGGCACCTTATACACTTGTGCACACCCGTTGGGAGCTAAGCAAATACAATCCACTCAGTTGCACACTTGATTTTTTCATCATTTGAGTGAGATTGGAGAGCCTCTAGTGCATTGCATTGAGTTGCATCATCTTGTGGCACTAATTGGATGATTTGGGCTAGTCATGATCTTGTTACTCTTGGTGTTTACCGACACCTAGACGGTCTGGTGATTGGAGGATCGTTGAGCGGAGTTGGTGATCGTCTCTGGCTTCGATCTGTTGCTTGTGAGGGGTTTTTGATCTTTTTCCGACGAAGAGCCAAAAGGTACTCAATTGGATTGCTCGTGTCATTGAGCTAGCTCACTTGTGGGTAGGTTCTTGCGGCGTCCAAGTGTTGGGCTAGGTTTGTGAAACACCTATTAGCCGCCGAACCACCAAGTTGGTCGA